AATCTTCAGTGTAAACCATCTAGCAGATTATAAGACAAAAACAATCAAAAGTAACACAATGAATGAATCCTTGTGTGTGTGCGTTAGGAATTAATAAGCGCCTGTGTGGTGGCACATGTCTTTAATCCTGGTACTCAGAAGGCCGAGGTAGGAAGACCTCTGAGTTTGAGGACAGCCTGGTCTACATAGAGTTCTAGGCTTGCCAAGTCTACATAGTTGAACTTAAAAAAAAAAAATAGTTATTCAATCCTAAGTGGCCAGTCCTAAAACAGGTTCAAGTAATACTAAACAGACTCAGGTTACACTTGCATACTTATGTGTGTGCACATATATTACAATAATAATTAAAGAATATGAGGTCATGAGTTTTAAAGGGATTGGAGGGGGCATTTGAGGGGTTGGAGGATTGAGATGATGCAATTATATTTTAATTAGAAGAAAAGACAAATTAAAAAGTAATAGCCAGGTGTGGTGGTATATACTTTTAATACCAGTACTCTGGGAAGCAGAGGCAGGCGAATCTCTGTGTAGTTATAACTCTCAACATAAACATAAACATAAATAAAAAGTATTAAAACCTATAAAAGGAAGAACTAAAATATAGTCTGGGATCCCTGAAGTCTGAAACATGATGACTGATATGGAGTCTAGGAAATTTCAGTGTTCAGAGTTCAGAGAATTTCAGATTTTCAGATGAGGGATGCTCACAGTAAAGTCTGAAAATATGAAACACCTTTGGTCCCAAGCATTTTGGATATAGGACATTCAACCTCTAGAGCACTACAAAGCAACTGAACACAAAAAGGGTAAGAGTGAAGGATCTACAGAACAAAAAACACAAGACACAGAAAACAAGTAGCCAATGAAAGGTCTTCCTCACTATTAACTATACTAAATGCAAATAGGTTAAACTCTGGAATTGAAGGACAGAGATTAGCAGGATGAACTGAAAATATTATTTTACCACAATTTGTGGTCTACAAAGGACTCACTTTTGATATAAAAAGTTGGATGTTTATTTTTTATTGGATATAAAAATCTATTCACTAAGGATCATATAACTAAATTTAAAATTTATATAAAAAACAGAAGAAAATATTTGTGGCAAACTTTTCATGACTTTGGATTTGCTAGCAATTTTCTAAAACAATGAGCAGTTTAACTGGATTTCACCAAAATTTGAAAATTTTGTATTTCTTTTCTATTCCATTGTACTATACAAGTAAATATTTTTCAGTAAGTGATGCAGGCCAGCCATACTCTATAGATGTGTGATCTACAATAAATAATTAATGCTTCAAATCACTAAGGTTTGGATTTGTTACACAGGACTGGTCCAGACATTCAACCATGTGAAATATATTTCCTTTACATTTGATATTGTTAAAAAAGATAATACTACTAGAGCTGGGAAGGTGGTAAAAGCATTTTCTATGCAAGCAAGAAGACCTGAGTTGGAATGCTTAGCACCCACACAAAAAGCCAAGCATGGCCACACATGCCTGACACCTAAATGCTGGGAAAGACAGGTGAATCCCTAGAGCTCTGGGACCAGTCAGCCAAAACAGTGAGCTTCAGGCTCAGTGAGAGATCCTGTCTTAAGAAAGTAAGGCAGAAAGTGAAAGAGAAGAATCCTGATGTCTTCTGTGGCACCTGCATATCCAGACATGGGCATATCCTCCATAACACACCCAAAAGAAAAAAAAGGAGGGGTGGAGGGAGGGAAAACTGATTAACAGAGAAAGAAAACATTAACAACCCAAGTTTTGTATAACAGCAAGGCCCAGAATTACTTTTTTGGGGGGTGAAGGTAGAACAAAATAAAAAGAAATAAAGGTTTTAAAAAGAATTTTTAAAAAACTAGCAAAGAATAGTGTATGTTCAACATTTTTGAAACTTGTTTTTTAACTAAAGATTATGGGAAAGGATAAAGTGCCTTTTGATAGTTACATTCTCTTAAATGTATTGAGTATTGTTAAGTCTGACATGAATACTTTTGGGTTTCACTACTTTCTAAGTATAATACTTAATGTAGCCCAGTACTAGCCATGAAGTTTGTCATCTTTTCCATTTCTGAAGAATGTGTGACGGTCCAAGACTTAGAAAGAGTATGAGCAAAACTGGAAAGAATCTGTTTAAGGGAGAATACATTTAAGATGCTAGAAAAGGAATATGTGGTGTACAAGATGAAAGAGGCTGTCGGCATGTAACGAAAGTGCATCCATACAAGAGTGAGATGACAGGACATCTGTGGGACCTCAATAGGCAGTCACAGCATTGGGCCCACAGCAGAGCCGGGCTTCTGAAGAATTTAGCTCGAAAGCTGTTGATGGTGAATACAGGGTGTGCCAGAGAGTATGTCACCCCACAACAGTTGTCTGGGCAACACCAGCCATGTCAGAACAGCAGACACAGCCTAGCATGCTGGCAAGAGGAACACTGGTAGTTGTGGACAGCAGAAGCTGTCAAGGCCAGCAAACTCTAGAAGGATTTGATCACCAGCGTCTGGATGGCACACCCTCCTGAGGATGTAGACATTTTGAAGAAGTTCAGAGGTTTTTTGAAGACCAGGAGCTGATGGAAGAGCTACTGTTTATTTATTTATTGTTGATGTTACCCCAACTGCTCTACCCTGGAGAACTGAAAGTAGCATATGTAGTTTATAGTGCTTACTAACACGCTAACAATAGTGAAGATAACTATGCTGCGGAAAGAACTCCTATTCTGGTCTGATACCATCCGCAACTGGCTGTACCTTGGGAGCAGAGATATAGATCATGCTCAGTGGCTAGGAAATGTCAACTCTTGCTCTCTCATTGCTAGCACCTTCAAATACCCGTGGGAAACAAAAGGAAACTCTCCCTGAGAGATGCTAGTTAGTGCCAGCTGTGGTGCTAACTTTGGATGATGACTTGACTAATTTGAGGGATGCCTAGGAAGTCACTATTTCTGGGTATCTGAACTATGTCCAGATGTTGGTTTGTGGGTCAGCAAATTCAATGAGGAAGAGGTTCAGCTGTGGGCCATCAAGAATTACAGGCAAAGAGAGAAGACTCTAGCTATCCCTCTTAAGCTGACACATTTTTCTATTACTGGTGCCTTTGGATGTCAGATGGCAAGTTCATTGGTCTTTGGACCCTGGAAATTGCATGGGCTGATCCTGGGGGTGGCGGGTGGGGTGGCTGGCCTTTGACCTTGGATGGAGCTACATCATCAACACCTGTGAGTCTTCTTGGACTGAAGAACCATCAACACCTCTCAGCCTCTTGAAATGAGCCATGCAATTAACCTGTATTTGGCCTTTTCAGCTAGCTCCTGCAACTGACTGAATATAGACACATATAAGTACATATGTGCATACATACAAACACACACATGCACATTCTTTTTTCAGGTGGTTTTGTTTCTCTGGAGATGCCTAACACATCCCCTTAGCAATTACTATGAATAAACAATGCTGTGACCCTTTAATACAGGTCCTCATGTTGTGGTGATCCCCAACCATAAAGTGACTTTCATAATGTAGTACTATTTCATAACAGTAATTATTAACAACTGCTACTGTAATGTAAATATTTTTGTAGATGGAGGTTTGCCAAAGGAATCATGATCCACAGGGTGCAAATGCTGGTCTAGATGAAGTAACTGCTTTAGGAATGACTCTTCTGTTTAGAGGAACAGTACAATTTGAGCAAAACGGAGAAAACATTTTCAAGGTATAGATGCCAAAAGGAGGGCTCTAACAGGCCTAAGCATGGCAAACATGGCAACGACAGGGTTTGTGCCTTACCCTTCTCCCCTTGCTAAAAATCCTTAGATTGCATTCCTAAAGCTAGCCACCAATGTCTATTCCCTTACTTGGCCACTTCCTCCTGAGGGTGACAACCAAGGTCCATCTTTTGAAGACCAGCAATAAAAGCCCCTTTTGGCTACTCTAATTAACATGCCCAGTCAAACCAACTCATCCTAATGTCATCAGGTTTCCTCCTTTCCTTTCCATTTATTTATTTATTTATTTATTTATTTATTTATTTATTTATTTATGTTTTTCAAGACAGGGTTTCTCTATGTAGCTTTGGAACCTATCCTGGAACTAGCTGGAACGAGTTCAAGACCAAGTTGGTCTTGAACTCACAGAGATCCACCTGCCTCTGCCTCCTAAGTGCTGGGATTAAAGGTGTGCGCCACCATCACCTGGCTCCTTCTTTCCTTTTATAAACTGCCTTTTGCCTATGGGCCACGGCTGTCTCCCTTCTAACCAGAGGTAGTCCTTTGTCCCTCTGGGGCAAATATCCATGCCCCCTCTCCGTTGTTCCTCTTCCCCTTTCCCCAGTCCTCTATTGTCTGTCTTTGTCTCTTACTCCCTGGCCTCTATCCCTCCAGTGCAAATAAATCTCCTTTGTGCTGAGAACTTGTCCTGTCCTTTCACCAAACACAAGGCTGTTGAGGAGACGGGATCATGTAGTGAAGCCCACTATTCTCAGCTTCCTTTCTGAGCAGTTTCCTGCCTGCAGCACATACCGCTGAAGCACAAGCTCAATGCAGTGGTCCTACTGAGCGCAGGTGGAAGAGACTCGAGGGACTTAGAACAACTAAAGCCATGAGATCTACAAGACAGGGCACTGGAGAGCTAGATAAAGAAAGGACCCTGGAATCCCCAGGGGAACCCGTGAGTATCTTGCCAAGAGCTTTGATGAAACACAAAATGTGACCTCTACAGCACTGTTCCTGACTCAGAAAATTCTGATAGAGACCAGAAAACAACAACTACAAAACTGCTGTGTTTTCATCAAGTTCACAGGTGATAGTGATGCTCCTGCTCAGAGGCCATACTTTCAAAATCACTTTTGTTGAACAAAACAATATGTTACATCACTCCTAAAACACTCTCATCCATTCGTGTTCTCCAGAGAGTTAAATATCAGCGGACTGAAGAAAAACATAGAGTTAACTCTACATAAAGCACACAGACAGAGCTCCTCGAGGCTTTGATGACTTACCTGAAGATCTTTCACATTTGGAAAAGGAATTCCTACTGTTACGACAGCACGGGCATTATCATCTGAGAAATCCAGACCCTCGCTCACTTTGCCACGGCAAACCGCAATGAGAAGGGCTCCATCTTAAGCAACAGGAATGAAACAGTTTTAAAAGTACACTCAGAAGTTTCTGAATTGCTTATTCTTGTCCTCAGTATTTTTAGTAAGTTTAAAGCAACCAGGCATTGCTTTTTAAGACAGTTTTTAAATGTAATAGGAAACAAAATTAGATGGAAATCAACTGTGCATTTTTAAAATTACTTATAGCCAGATGTGGTGGCGCATATCTTTAATTCTGGTCCTCAGGATGCAGAGGCAGGCAGATCTCTGAATTTGTGCCCAGCCAGGTCTACAAAATACAAAGCAAGTTCTAGGACAGACAGGGCTGTTACACAAAGAAACCCTGTCTAGAAAAACCAAAATAAAATAAAATAAAAGATTACTTATACACAGCACAGAAGCAGCAACAAGCCTTCACTAACAAACTGAAATTCAATCATTGCGTTTACCAGCACAAATACAACCTTGCCTTTGTAGCAATATCCTGTAGCAGCCTCTGCAATGCTGTGCCTGGAGTTTTGTTTGTTTCTGGTTTGTTTTGAAAGAGGATCTCAGTATGTGAACCATACTGGTCCTGAACTCTCAATCCCCTTATTCAGTTGCCCCTAAGAGCTGAGATACAGACTTCCATACTTGGTTATTATGTTGTCATCAAAAACTCATTTACATGTGCTGTTCTTGCAGGGAACTCAGGTTCAGTTTCTAGCACTCACATGGTACTGGAACTCCTGGTCCTTCATTGCTGCATTGTTCCTAAATTACTGCTATGAGCTTTCACATCAAACTCTTTTTTTCCTGGTTTTTTGAGACAGGGAACTAGCTCTGTAGACCAGGCTGGACTCAAACTCACAGAGATCCACCTGCCTCTGCCTCCCAAGTGCTGGGATTAAAGGTGTGTGCCACCATCACTCAGCTTCAAACTCTTTTACATGTGGAAATCAGCACTGAGCTACTTTCTGTTGTCTGAGACAGGATTCGAACCCAGGCTGTCCTGAATGTACCATCCTCCTTCCTCCTCTCCTTTTGAGCACTGAGATTACAGTCAAACACCATCACTGCTGCTTTTTAAGTTTAACTCAGAAGGCATAGTTTGGTGGATCTCTCTGAGTTTGAGGCCAGCCTGGTCTACAGAGTAAGACCCTATTTCAAACAACATAAACAAAATACAGCTAAAAACAAACAACAACAACAAAACCCTCTAAGTTTATCATATTTGGTAGACTATAAGCATCAACTACATATCTGTGTAAAATCTACAGACCTTATTCTGTCAGTGAGGAAGATATTTATACCAACCCTACGTTCCTTCTTGTGCAAAATACTTCAAGTAGTATTAAGCAAAACATGGCTTAATATCTGAACATATGTGTGTGTGTGTGTGTATTCTTTTTATATAACCTACTTTCTGTTTACCCGAGATTATAAAGTAAATTTTCCCAAGTACAATTCACTTAAAAAGATAAAATAAAATTGATGGGAGATGTCATTCTGTAAATATGTTTCTCATACTGGTTAATGAATAAAGCACTGTTGGCCAATAGGAAAGCAAGATAGGTGGGACTAGGAGACAAAGAGGATTCGAGGAAGTAGGAGGGAGGAGTCAAGATGGAAGACAGAGAGAGCAGAATGCCAGCGAGCTCTCTCTCCGGTAAGATAAGATCACGTGGAAGTACTTAGATTAAAAGAAATGGGTTAATAATTAAGACAGAGCTAGCCGATTAGAAATTAGTACCTGGCCAACAGCATTATATCAAAGACAGAGTGTCTGTGTGTTATTTGGGGTTGGCGCCATGGTGGGTCCAGGCCGACAGGAAAAACTACTCCTTACATAAAATGACATTTTAATAGCACCAAATTCTCCTTGCTTTACAGTTTAAAACGCTTTTACACTGAGCATGAAATTATTTCCAATTACTGTTGGTGATTTATTAACACTTGCCTGAATATACTGAGAGCAAATCTAGCTACAAACCATAGAGCCAGGCAATGGTGATACACACCTTTAATCTCAGCAGCTATACTAGCTAGCCATAGAGCCAGGCAGTAGTGGCAAACACCTTTAATCCCAGGACTCAAGAGACAAACAGATGGATCTCTGTTAGTTCAAGACCACTGAGCTACATGGAATTAATCCAATCCTAAAGAGAAACAACTCACACAATGGTGATACCAGCACTTGGGATCACACTTTTTTAATCCCAGGATTTGAGAGGTATAAAAGGAAGAGGCAGTAGTTTGGGATTGCAGTCTGAGGCTGGGTGGAAAGATTTATTCTCCAGCCATGCTGAGGACAGGACAGCCCTTTCAGCCTGAGGTAGAGGTAAGAGCTAGTGGCTTGGTTGCTTTGCTTTTCTGATCTTCAGCTTGAACACCAATATCAGTCTCTGGGTTTTTATTTTTGTGTTACAAATTACCTTTTTCTCCTTTGAACTTGATGGCATCGTAGTACACTTGCAGCAATTCATCAAAATCAGTTTTTTCTCCTCTTTGGGGTTCTGCAATGACTGTCTTCACCAACTCCAAACTGTGCCATAAGCCAGTGGAAACCCAACGTTCTCTTAATTTGTCTAGCAGCTAAAAAGAGATGGAGAAAATTAAGTCTTCAGGCTAACTGAACAAAGATCTTTATTTGTAAATTACAAATGCTAGAATAAAAAAAAATCAAATTTCAGTCTGTATCATAATAAATACACATTCTATTAATATATTGTTAGATTAAAAATAAGTATCAGTGAAAATCCCAACCTTAAAACAATCTTAAAAACATGGGTGAGAGAGGAATACAATAAAACATGCAACAAAGCAAGAGTAATACTTGGAAATACATCAATAGCTTCAATATGTTATTTTAAAAATCTGAACATAGAGATAGGCATTGTTTTCAATATGGTTGAAAATGAAATACAGCAAATGCAAATAAACAAAAATTAATAAAAACTAAGTAAATGAAAAAGATAAAAGGCAGATATAGAGATGATAATTTTTTAACCACTTTTGAAAGTCATGAGTTCTACTACATTGTGGACTAGTTATTACAATGTAATTAAGTTCCAAGAAACCAACCTCATTTATTTTCTTAAGATAATTTATTATTCTTATAAAATTTAAAAGAATGTAAACCAAATTCCCCATCAGTGCCATTTACTCAATAATTTAATTTTTCCATAACATTATATTATGTTAAAAATTATAGGACTGTTTGCAGGAGGTGATGGCACTTCCCTTTAATTCCAGCACTTGGAAGCAGAGGCAAGTCCTCTCTGTGAGTTCCAGGCCAGTCTGGTCTATAAAGAGACTATAATAATTATAAGACTGTCATCATCTGAAAGTATTTTCTATTTGAAATGTCTTATGAATTGGCTGCTAGATTTGATTTCTTGTGTTAGGAGTTAGAAAGTATGAAAACCCTATTGACAAGTTGAGAACAAATGTGTATGGAGGGGTCAAAATGGATCTTTAATGGTAGGAAAAAATTGATATTAAAAAATAAATGAAGTATAGAAAGATATTAAACTACTTAAGTTTCTCTATAGAATAGCTAGTGTAGAACTGGATAAAAGTACCATCTCTAGAGTAAAGGAAAGCAGATGAAATGTCTGAAAAGTTCTATAATTGCTAATACTTAATGGAATTTAATACCATTTTTCCTGAATTTAAAAACAAAGATAATATTTCATCATTGATTTCTGGACTCAGAGATAACAACAACTACCAAACTTCAGGTGGTAAGTGTTCCAAGATCCAAACTCAATCTACTAATGTAAGACATATATACATAAGCATAGTTAGATTAGAAGAGGTCTACTGAAAAAGAAAAGCTTAAGAAATAACAAAGAAGCAGTCAATGCAAAATTCCCCTAAGATTTTTTTCAAATTATAAGCAAAAAATTCACTTGTGTTTGGTGGTATAGGTCTTCAATTCTAGATACTAAAGAGGTTGAGGAAAGAAGATGGTGAGCTCAAGGCTTGCCAGGATTACAGGATGAGTTCAAGGTCAAACAAGGCAACTTAGTGAGACTGTCTCAAAATGAAAAGTAAGAAAAAGGTGGGGATAAGGCTCAGAGGTAGAGTGTTTGCCTGCCATGTCCCAAGATCCAACGTCCAACCTCTTGTGCCACAAAAAAGAGAGTGGTGCTAAAACTTGTCTGAAAAATTAAGGCCACTAAGATCACTGATAATATCTGAGTTTACTGATTTCGTGTGACTTTTAAACAGAACTGCTAGCATATCATAATTATATGACTAAGACTGTAATTCGAAGACTAGGTGAGAGAAAAAAGGAGAAACAGAGCACACCTACCTAGATCTCATTTTTCCAGCTTACATTAAACCTTGTTGTAGCCCGGTTGTGGTGGTGGCAGTGGTGCACTCGTTTAATCCCAGCACTCAGGAGGCAGAGGCAGGCAGATCTCTGTGAGTTCGAGGTCAGCCTGGTCTACAGAGCTACACAAAGAAATCAAAAGGAAAAAAAAAAAAAACTTGTTAGTGAAAATTTTGTAACTTGAACACACTATTTTACCTTATACAGGTATTAATCTTGAGCTGGTGAGATGGCTGAGAGGGTAAAAGTGCTTCCTGTGCAAGCCTGAATTCAATCCCCAGAAGCCAAGATGGAGGGAGAGAATGGATTCCCAAAAGTTGTCCTCTGATCTCTATACACGTAACTCTGGCATATGCATACAGCACACATCACCTACACCTATCACATTAAACACACACACACACACACACACACACACAAACACACACACCATGTGCAACACATCATATGCTCACACAGCACATGACACATACAGAGCATAACACACAATGCACAAATCACACACAATCACAACACACAGCACACGCAAACATTACATAAAATAAAATAAAGAAATAAATATTGCCTAGGTACTGGGGCATTAACATGTAAGACAGAGTCATTAGGTTTCAAAGTTTGAGACCAGCCTGGGCTACAGTGAGAGCCTGTCTTAAAAAGAACTCAAATTTGCTTTAATTAAACAGGAAGAACTCATTTAAACTCTCAAAAAAACTCTCAAAAAACAACTAAGAAGTTGTTACACTATTTTTTGTTTTTCAGGAAAAAAAAGAAGAGAGGAAAGAGAAAAGGAATGTAGAGAGACAGAAAATGAGAAAATAGTATTAGTATCTCCCTTATCAGTTCTTTGGACTTAAAGTTATAAACAGGATTAAAGTGAAAGCCTGGAAAAAGATACTCCTAATAAGTGGTGAGTATTCACACAATCCACACCAAACTAAACAGACAAGTCAAAAACTATCACAGAGACAAAAGTAAGACAATCTGTAAGGATAAAAGGCCAATTTGCCAAGAACATGCAACAAGTACACATTTATATCTGCCCACATAAGAAAACCCAAGTACTCTAAATGAATACTGACCGAACATAACAACATGGCAATGGGAGACTGAAATACCCACGCTTCAACAAATCAATACGATATCCAGACAGAAGATCAATAAGGAAATAGAAAACCTTAACAATCCCACAATCTGGAAGTCTAAAGAGGCATATATAGGACATCCTACAGAATGGCAGCAGAATGCTAATTCTTCTGAAATGCACACATCCATTGTATGTTAGATCACAAAATAGATCTTAACAAATTTAACAAGAGCCAGAAAGATGGCTCAGCAAATAAAAGCACTTGTCCCTGGGCTTGATGACTTGGATTCCATCCCTAGGATACACATGGTAGAGGGAAAGAACTAGTTCACCAAAGCTGTCCTTGGACCTTCACTATACACATCCACACTAAAAAAAAAAAAAAAAAAAATTAACAAGACCAAAATGACATCACATCTTTTCCAACCACAACAGAGTGAGACTAGAATTCAATAGAAAACTAATGACTTCAGGAAGATGTAGAAATTAAACAATATACTCCTGATCAGTGAGCATGAGTCAAAAGAGGAAATTAAAAAAAAGTTATGAGGCCAAGCGATAGTGGTGCACACCTTTAGTCCCAGCACTCAGGAGGCAGAGGCAGGTGGATCTCTGTGAGTTTGAGGCCAGCCTGGTCTATAGAGCGAGTGCCAGGATAGGCTCCAAAGCTACACAGAGAAATCCTGTCTCGAAAAACAAAACAAAACAAAAACAAAAAATGAAAAATAAGGTATGAAATTATATTGAAATCAATAAAAATAAAATACAACACACCAAAAGTAAGAAACACAACAAAAGGGTACTAAGGAAGAAGTGAATAGGTGAAACAAATGTCTACACTAAGAGAAATAAATCCTGAAATTCCAGCTACTTGGGAGGCTGAGGCAGAAGAATAGGTAGCAAGTTCAACATCTGCTTAGGCTACAAAGTGAGACGTCTCAAGATAACCAGTTTAAAAACTGCTCTACCTACCAGGTGGTGGTGATGCGTGCCTTAAGTCCCAGCACTTGGGAGGTGGAGGCAGCCTGGTCTACAAAGAGAGTTCCAGGACAGCGAGAGGGGAAAAAGTGCTCTACTTAGTGGAAGGACACTTGCCTAGCCATGTACAAAGCTTTGCGTTTGATACACTGCCACTACAGAGTGAAAAAAGTTAGTAAAGAAAACAAAGATTAGAACAGAAATAAAATAAAGGAGAGGAAAATGCTGAGTAACTGAACGAAATGAGAGTCAGTTTATAAAAAAGATCACCAATACTGATGAACTGACTAAGGAAAAGGATACGTCAACATTAAGAACTGTTTTAAAACGACATACGCATGTATGAATCCAAAAAGATGAATTTCAAAACTAAACATGTTGAGTAAAAAAAGCAAATAGTATTTCACTTAAAGTCCCATTTAAGAAAAAACTATTGGGGCAGCTAGAAGCCACCAGAGTGCCCGCCCTTGGGCAGCAGGTGCCACTACGATGAGATGGGAAAGACAGGTCACGTGGTGGAGAGAGGGGGAGAAAGAGTGGGGTGGTTCATGCACTGTGCAGAGTTGGATCTGGAGATGCTACAGTGGCGAGGACCATGCAAATATGAGGAACCTGCAAAGCACCTGAGGCCATGGTAATATGCAGGCCTGGCTACTGCCTAGGGCCATGTCTGTGTCCATAGCCCTACTGCATCTGGGGTCTGTGTTGATGTCTGAGGCCCACCCATGTTATCACCAAAGACCACAAGGATGTCTGTGGTCTGGGCTGCCATCTGAAGTCATGTTGATGTTCAAGCTGGCCCTGACCCTTGGGGGCCACAGGAGAGCTAGTCACTACAACAGCAGTAGCACAGGAGGGGGTGCAGGGATCTGGCTGACCAACTCAGCTACCATCCCAGTCCAGATTCAGGGCTTTTAGTTGGCTCACCCCAACATCTATCCCATCTAAGTGCTGCTGGAGTGCCTGAAGAGGCCTGTCCTGCCAAACCATTGATGCAGGATCTCCATGACACAGGGCAAAAGGAAGCTATCCCAGTATCAGTGGTGTAGCAGAAGCAAGGGGCCCTGAACCAGACTGACTCACTGCAATGAAGGTTTGTGAGTAAAGCTTTTTATACTGCATGACACACCATAGCTTCCAGTGTCACTATGATGATCGGATACGTGATGGAGAGGCAGGGATGGAGGAGTG